TGCAAATTTATGCTAATTTGGCGTGACGTCTAAGGCTCCGACTGTTTCGAGGTCCCGTCTTTCAGTCGTCATTATTATGAGTTATTGTCTTTGTTGATGCGAATAATTACTTTTACTTAGTTTTTCATACCACAAGTGACAAAACGATGTCATCGCAGATTTTTCAGACTGACTTTTAGCATGTGTATTTAGTGAATAAAAGTGACTGCTGTAAATGATATGCATATGGTCATGTGATACTACTATGTATCATGTTTGTAGTCGTTTGTCTCCGTGACTTACTCGTTTCAGCAAATTTTGGTTAAAAAGATGACTGTAAACAGACAACTGCAGTTGACGCAGCATCTGGTATCTAAAAGATTACTAAACGTCGGTATGTCAAGTTTTCGGAAAGGGCGTACTTCAATAAACATTGCTCTACCAAATGCTCCCAGGGTAAGGTAGTGAGGCAATTACCGAATAAGCGTACCTTACATAGATGGCAGAGATGATGTAGCGAAAAACGCCGTTATCTACAATATCTAGGTTTAGTAGCTCATGATTTATCGTATTTATTTATTCATTACAATTTAACATTATGCGCCGCCATATAGTATTAATAGGTGCATTTGTTTACAAGGTATTGCAAGAAATAAACAACAGTTGGGACATTATTACACAGTGTGTACTAAAGGACTGGTCATTTCGAAACGTACACCTCCATGCTTTGTCCCGTGTTTTGTATGTAGGGGATTTAACTATTGAGTTTTGCTACTGCCTGGATTGATACGAAATTCTGGCGGCATTCACGTATAACTACTGACGTCAACGTCAATATCAAGGGACTGTATAAATAAACGATTTTCAAACGTCGATTTTTAGGATCTTTATGTTAAATATTTTAAATACTTCTTAATGCAATAAATAATAACAATTTTAGTTGTTGAGTGACACTTTACTCGTAACAGCATATTTGTAATTCTAAAGATATTGAGAGATGCTATATTATAGATGTTTTTAATCTATTTATTAGTGATTCAATCATTTGTTTTGCATATGATATATAATAATTGACGGCTTCATTAGCTGACGTATATTCGATTCGTTGACGTACTGAACATTTATAATTACAAACTGCAGTCATGTAATTAGCACCGTAAAATTGACATCATAGAAATAATGAAATAAGTATGCGATATATGTAATTAATTAACTTTAGCCTTAAGATGAATCTTCGCCTACATGTATACGTGTTATTAAACAGATAATTATTTCGAGCGCAGAAACAACTATTAGGTCACAGACAGGCCGATGAAGATGAACTCACTCATACGTCAATATATTTTAGATTGTTCGTTATTACGTACGCGAACCCGCATTGTAGCTTAAACATCAAGCGTATACAACATTAATTTACCCCACCTGTTGTAGTGTCGATGCGAGAAACACCCCCCCCCCCCATCATTCTAACATTAGATATACAAAGACATTCCCGATATATACTGATATATTCGTTTTACGATTCGGTTTAAACCAAGAGCTAGTACATATGGACGACGCTGTTTTTTATAACTACCGCGTAATTGTGCCTTGGGTATAATAACCCTTGTGACACAAAACAAATTCACCGGTGATATGCATGTACAAAAAATTGTATCGATCAGTGTATAAATGTACATCATGTATTATATCGAAAAATGAAAGCACGAATAAATTATATTCACAGTAGTTTGCTTTGATACATTTCTTAGTACAACTCTATTATATTTTATACTCGGACATGGTCTTATACTCCCTCAAACTTCACAGTCTGTCGTTTTTTCCCTCTTTGATATTATGTATATAAAATTTCAATTATTATATTGCTCACGGTTACGATTTATACACATTATTTTGATTTATAACACCGACAAAAAAAATCATTTACAAATTTAATTACAATACATCGGAAATCGTGACACTTAACCATCATTTCCGTGTTATGATAAATATTCAACCAGTTTTATTATGACTACTTTCGAAGAACAAATCTATTTTTTTAATTGAAATACGTATACGCAATTTGTTATCATTGTAATAGACATGATCTCGTTGAGATGAATACGTAATACATTTCAAGAGAAAAATATCGAATGTGGCATCTGTAAAATGTGTTCAACTGAAATCGGAGATAATGTAAAGGCAAATCACGTTCTTCCACCGACAGCCAGAAAATGCGTGTCATTATGTAAGTACTCAGTTGCCATGGTAGTGACTATGCAAACAAATTATAATTTTCAAACAAGATAGCAGCCACACACCTCGTCATATTTTTTTGCAAACAGAAAAGGTACTCGTTATAAAAAAATAGTTTGTTTAGTGTTTAAGGAAGTGGGAGTCACATTTAAATGTCATGAACAAATGTGCTCTGTACATGTAGTACCAAAACAAACATACTGCATTGATTCAAAGACGTTGAATAATTGTATATTTTCATGAGTATTTATCAAATTCATGTCGCGGGTTCGCATGTTCTTCAGTACCGCCCTCTATGTGCAACGCTGATTTTGCCCTAGTTTCGCATTCGTTGGTAAATCATTGTATTGCGAAAATTTCGTTTTATTTTATTAAACGTATTTTCAAAAAAAAATATTTTGAAAATAAATATAATGCACAAAGTGTGATGTAGTAAGGTGTATTCACTATAACAACATGTTCTAAATGACAAAATTTTTAAACAGCACTTTCTTTAAGAAATTATATCCCCAAAGTTTTTTGCCGCAAATCTTTTTACTATGTCTGGTTTCACATGAATAATTTCTAATAAGTTTTATTAGGTCGAACATTATAATTTCAACTTCGTCTTGAAAACTCAAGTTAGTTTGATACGATTTAAGTTAGTTTGACACGATTTAAGTTAGTTTGACACGTAGTTCAAAGCAACATCCTCACTATAATGTGTTAACTGTGCGATAATATCTCGCGCTATTTTACCATATATGTAGATATTTGGTAGAAAACAAAGGGGGATAAGTAAAACCGGGACACGATCTTCTACCCTGACAGCGCTGCGAAGTCATGTACAATTTCACGGGTCATTAATACCACTAAAATTGTTACCGAACGGTGTTTTCAGTAAGCGGAATGGTCAGGAATACAAAATAGCAAAAATTGATATTCGTCAAATAATAAACATAAATAGATAGGTATTTAGTAAACCTTTTATTTAAAGAGAAAGTACGGGAAAACAACATTGTGCTTGAATATAAATGTATATTTTTTTTATATTACATTTCATACTCGTCGATCCAGTTTGCTGTACCTGTTCTCGGTGCACGTACTCCGTGTCATTGTCGTAATGATTAGCAGATTACCGCGGTGTAACTGAATTCTCTGTCACCTCAGCTCTTTTAAAAAATACCAGTAACCTAGGGATGCTAGGTACATTTTGGTATCGTTTTCCTGAACATCAAACCAGAATATTTATAATTTACTGCGCTGTATCAGAAAGCTTTTGAGTCAAATTTATTTTAATCTGACTAACAATCTATATTACGGGTATCACGTGATTTTTATGTGAACACTGAAGATATATTTTCCTCAAAACTGAAATCAACTTTTAAAGACATCTGCGTCTAGTGGAGTAATATAATGAGTGATAAAAAATTGATCCTCTAAAACATATTTGTTTTGATAGTTTCAAATATTTTATGTCAAAGCTATATAATACAAACGACTGACAAGAGAGACGCAATCCTTGGAAGGGAAGATGCATGTAATTAGTTACAGTTCCAAAGTTGGAGCCAATCAAGTGAGCTGTTCTATGGACAAATCGCACATTGGGACATAATTAGACCATTATCTAATTAATATAATTGCTACCTGGTTGACAATTCTGTGACTAGTTGATTCGTAAACTCATTAAAATTGTGTACGTATTGCTCTGAGAAAATACACTCTCCAAATTCTCTGGTTAACCAGGAAGTATAAACGCACAGTATAGAGGGCGCACTATATCACACACGACATTATCTCGTCCGCAAACTCGATTTGTGAGTGTATTGGAGGTGGTTCTACAGAATGTATTCATACTTATTTATAACTGACTGACAACATATTACTGGTGAGGTTAATTGCGACCATGTGTTTCCACTGAGCACTGGAATACGACACGACCGTAAGTAAACTCATGTATTTTTTTCTTCTATCGAAGATAATGTTGTTTTATAGTTATCTATTTTTTTATGAATGCATAATGATGATGCATTTTACCTCCACACAGTCATAATAAAGACGTTCACACGCTTTTCGATGAAAACTGACGTGAACGAATTACATGAGTAGTCATTTTACTGTCAAGTAACTCTCTGCTGATGACACTGGCGATCCGTCGTTGCTACTAACAACCAATGTGATTCCTGATACATACATAATTAACATCAATGTATTATGTAATAGATAGATGTGGCGGGTGAATGATGGTGAAGAAAAGGAAACAAAGCTGGGAAATGACGATGATGATCCTCCACATTGTTATCAACTATTCACAAAGCTATTCGACGAAATAATGGGACACGAATCATAATTAATTCATTACTGGTTAAGTGAACAGCGTCGGCGTATTGCAGTCCAATTGCAATGAGATGCGATCAACTTTGCCGTCCTGAATTCTGCTAAACTCTCCGAATTTGGGAAAACGTCTCCAAGAAGAATTACGTGCTAACGTGCAGGAGTGTGATATGCGGATGATATGCACGTTTTCGTAAGCTGTAAACGTCGCTGTCAGACATTAAGAACCCGTCTCTACCATCTGTTAATATGATTGTGTGTTCCTAATATATTACAAGACTATCATGAAATGTGCTTGATTTCCGTTCCTGAAACACATTCGCAGAATTGTTGAGTTTAGTGTCAGTGGGTACTTAGGTAGGTGTATCTCTTTAACTGGTGGTGTGTCGTGAGAAACTACCTATGGGCTGTGTCATGGCTTGACAAGGAAGTATTCCTCGTGTTGCGCATTGGCATATTTCACCTGATCAATCATGGCTCAGGTGCATCCCGTGAACTATTCATTGAACGCCTCAGCTGATATAGAACAATTCAATATCTCGTCATTATCTACAACCGACTTTGACATGGAATCTTTTCGGGTGGTGATCACCACGTTGTTTATACTAGTCTGCGTGTGCGGTCTTCTGGGCAACGGTTTAGTCATCGTAATCCTACTCCGTTTCAGCGACATGCGAACTGTTCCCAATGTATTCATCTTAAACTTGGCGTCCAGTGATTTTCTTTTCATGCTAGGGATTCCGTTTCTTCTGCAGTACAACATGCAAGGGCAATGGATATTCGGAAACGGCATGTGTAAAATAGTACAGTGTATTGATTACATCAACATGTTTACTGGAATATTCACCTTAACAGTGATGAGTTGTGATCGATATTTAGCGCTTGTTTACCCGTTAAGATCAATGTCACTACGGACAGTTAAGCACGCTCGCATAACCTGTATCATATTGTGGATTATTTCTATTCCATTAACCTTACCGTTGTGGTTGTACTCCACCGTCTCACATATCACTGATGAGTTTAATCAACCTAAGACGGAGTGCGAGACAAATTGGCCAAACGACTACATTAACCATGTGTTTTTTATATTCGCATTTGTCGTCGGATTTGCCCTGCCTATTTTATTAATATCTCTTTGTCACGTGGGTATTTTACGCCACGTTGTATGCATGAAGAACAAAGCTGATCTGGGACGACACTTTCCACAGTTTTCTATGAAAATAACGATGATCATACTCCTTGCATTGCTCGCATTCGCCGTGTGTTGGTTGCCATACTGGGTACTCATACTACTCAGGGCGATTGGAAACCAGAAAGTTACCCTGGAGTACTATGTGGTTTTCAACATTTCCTTATGTCTGAGTTATTTCAATAGCTGTCTCAACCCTTTGATATACACCTGCGTTGGTAGAGATTTTCAGGAAAAGATGTCACGTTTTTTTCACTGTTCCAGAGGCGCCGATATTAACTCTAGGATGACGACCACAGGAGACATGCGAATTACCAAGTTGTAAACAAAACGTCATTTATAATCGATAGTATTCCTATTTCCCAAAAACAACATCTGTACTTGAAGAGGACTTTTTTTTGCACCTATTTCGAACATTTTATCTTGTGAGCCCTTGAATCATTGTATTAGAGAGTGGTGATCGTATTTGCTGATGTTGACATTGTTTCGGGTGTGGGTCATGTTTTTGTTATTGATTATGCGAAATTGAAACGTAAAATAAAATCGAATTTGTCGTTCTCAGTCGCCTTTAACACATTATGCATTCTTGGTATTCTAATCACTAATTAATAATAACGAACACATCAAGGTAGCGACACGGTAAACTAGTCATAGTTTAATTGTGATTATGACTTTACCCGTCTGCTAATAAGCAAGTAGCTGCATATGGCAATGTATATGTTTTCAGAAAGCTAAGATACAGAAGAATACGATCGTGGATTTTCCGTGTTAATATTTGCTCAGGGATCAAGTTACGGACATTCGCGTGAACCTCCTAAAAAAGGGTTTTACGCGGGATTAAGTTGGCGGTTGTTCGTTTTTTCTATGAGTTCGATTTTTTCGCTGTTGCTAAGATAAGATAAGATAACGATCCTTGACACTGGGTCTCGGAATATTTACGCGTCTAATAGATCTGGGGTTACTGTCCTTCGAATTATATGGACTACATTTCATGAATGTATCTGTGGTCTCAAGCCTGAATTCAAAATCAACGCCTTGCTGTAATGCCTATAAGACGTTATTTTTAGTCCAATTCGCGATGAATGGATGTTGTAATTTGTGTATCGTTAGAGTGAAAGAAAGTTACGTTAGTACTAATTAGTTTCCGTAAAAACGCCATAAAACGTTTCTTTATATTGGGCTTTGGATAAACATATAAGTAATTAACAAATGTATACCATTTCGATCACAATTATACATGTTATACTATGCTTATACGATTGCTAGACTATCTCCGTTCACCGAAAGTGATGGTAACTTCAGCAAAATGACATATTGCACAACTAATTTATTTAAGCAATTTATTCCCTTTGATATGTTAAACAGCTCCAACAGTACAATTGGTTCTATGAACCCCTGGGCCGGCCATGTTACAACATTTACTGTACCGTTATCAGATATTTGATAACCATGTTAGCGCTAAATGTTTGCCTCCTGATAAACAAATTGAACGTAGCGTTGGCTATGCTGTTGTATAACACAGTCCCTAAATACTGGAGGGGTGGTGTAACGTGAATTATGTTCATGCGCACATTTATGTTTATGCACACAATTTTTTTGAAAATTATCATTCAACATAGGCGCTTTAAAACATACACGAAACATAGAAAAAAATCAATTCGAAATTTCTGTGTTCACCTTTCTTTGTCTTGATGCGGAATAATATGAGTGTCAACATACGCCATATTTTGGCAACATTTGGACCGTGCGAACAAGATTATTTGTTATGTAAATATTGCCAGTGAGGTCTCACACAACACTGTCTATAGCCTGTGGTGAATGAACAAACACTGACATGGCAGAAAAAAACGTTTCAGTCATTTAAAAAAAGACACTGAGAACAGTTTAAAGTACTATAGTGGGAATGTTTGGTTGCGCTTAGAATGCCATCGCGTAACAGTCTGATTACACAGGACATGTCAACAAATCAGTATGCAAATTAAACTTTCAGTCCGTCACTCAACCTAATATGTATGTCGAGGAATGTGTTTACCCATAGCTTGGTTGATAACAATAAACCAAAATTACGCACCGAAAGCATCGTGCACAGTAAATTTTGAACAACTTAGAAAGTACAAAATATAATGTTTATTATATATGTATTTTTTTTTTCATTTTCCATCTCGCTACTTTAAGTAGATATCATTCTTGAATTTAGTCCGACTTTTTTCTTACATTCCTACCCTCATTAAAATAATTGTTCTGCCCTTAATGCCGGCGGTATGACTTAATCACTTCTACTCACGTCTTATGTTTGTTATGAATTAAATATGGTGACTGGTGATCTTCGTGTGATTCTATAAATCATAACGGTGTGTTGATCTGATTATACTAAACCCCTGAAGGTGGATACGTGAATTGACGCCTACATTTTACATGATAGTCTGTAATATTGCTTGTTCGTATACACGGATGATAGCTAATATAAAATGTGCAAATAAATATTTATCAGGGGGTATTCACTACGGCGACGTGTTTAGTCATGCAAATACTGTGCAAAATATTTGTGTAATACCTTCTTTTACCGTGCATGTATTAGCGCAATGTACGTTATGTGTGAAGCAGAGATGGGTTAATTTCAGTGGGAAATGAACATCCTGGTGGATTACCATAAATGGGAATATGTTTTATTATGATCTAATTCGAATTAGAGTTCCGAAAACGATTTTTCCTGGGTTCATTAACAAACGATTGCCATATTCAATATCTTACACGTGCGAATTAAGATAACGTGTTACGAAATATGTTACTGTTTCTTTATAAAATTGCAACATCGAACTTCACGATCCTTTGATCTAACACCAACTAAATTCTTTACATACTTATTGTGTTGTAGCGTCGCTACGACACCAGAAGTGTGATTGTAATTACGAAACGTGTTGCGATGGTATCAGTTCAACGGTGCTTGATAAAGAACTAGATTTTACCATACAAATCGTACAATTAAAGTAATTGCGTTGACATCCGATGCGTAACCACGCATCGCAATTGCTAGTGCTTTGTGACATTTAAAAATAATTACAAGATCCATTCTTCTGTATCAGAAAACAATTGTATGCATATTAATATATGCGGATGGAATGGTAGCCTTCTTGTTTATGAGAGCTTTCATTATTTAACTGATGTTGACTCCAACTATTCGTAATTTGACATTTGTTCATTCGAGTTTACTGTCCTATCACCTAGACATATCAACTAAAACAATCGCATCGTTTACTCGGTTTTATTCTCTGCTAGTCCATCTATGCCACGTGTATCACATGGTGCATTACTAACCAGAAACATACTAGGGGTTACCAACTGATTGTTCGTCCAAGGACTGTCGGTGACGAGTCATAATCCGCTAGGGAATAATAATACCTCAAAGCAACCACCAAAGGAATTCAAAGCAGCATATTTACTGTGGAATGTACTTTTTTTATAATTGGGTGATCTTGGGAAAAAACCGTGCCTTTATGGACTACAGTTGCCAAAATAATTAGATTTGTTAGTACGCCAATTTGTGTTACCTGTCAAAAAAAATAAAGCCACATATATTGTTTTCAAAAATGGTAACAAAGACCTGTGGCAAAATAGTAATTGAATTCAATCGGACAAATTTTATTTTTTTAAATGCAGAAAAATAACATAAACAGTTCTCGTCCCAATTTTGACGAAATAAATATTGTAAACAACTTGATATAATTTAGATTGTGGTGTGTAAATATATTTTATTTCTGTTTACTCATCATTTATATGATTTGCGATTCATATTGAATAAAATATTGAGGTTACAGTGTTACACTTTAATGCGATTTCCGCCAGATTAAATTAATGCAGATATTACTTTACATTACTGATATCAATATTGCCCCATCCTTTTGATCCAGGCTTATCGGGTGGTATAAGCCAATAAGATTGGCACATCGCCTTTGGTGCGGTTTTATATTCCTTATGTATCCGATGACTAGAAGCTTAGCGTGTACAATGGTTATAGGTCAAGGGTGATTGTAATTAGCATATGTCTTATGTCATATGTATTGATCTTGAAGCAAACAAAACCGTTCTTTGACTTGTGTTTGACAATATTAGTCGCATCGCACCAGACTTTGGACAGAATTAATTCTCATCAAATCGTCCACGTGTATGAGCAAATCCGCCAAATTTGAATGAAATGCATGTGTCGGGTCAGGTTGTTAAAATGATGATGTGAATTGTGTGCCATTTATTTCAAAGCAGTTGTTTATTTCTATCGTTAATGAAATGAACTACTGACAAACATAATATTAAAGCGGGGGTCGTCATCTGCACACGCGCGAGAATTGAGTCCCAATCGACGATAGCAACACACGCTAAAAACGTGATATGACGCATGCGCAGGTGACGACTCTCCCCGCTTTAAACGATTTGTTTTGTGACCACTATACAGATTGTTTTGGGAGTCATTTAACGTGTTCTCGCACCTCTGATAAAACGATTAATAAATTTATATTGAAATGTAATTATCTTTCAACATAGTGTCAATTATTCTACTCCTAAACTAAGGTGGGACACCAAGGGAAAACCAAAGTATTATAATAATATTAATTTACAACACGTTGAGGGGATGCGCCATGATTTTCATGATAATATTAGGCAGGGAAATGTAAGTAAAGCTGCAAATAATTTAGTTGATATTATATATGCTTGTAACACACATATGATGCACAAACCTAATTATGTTGGCAAGTCATATTTTAACTCCTGGTTTG